GCTCAAATCTACCAAAATGGTGATTCCCCTGCGTGTTTGGGGAGGGCGTGTGGGAGTGATTGAAATTTGAAACAAGGTCTCCCATCCAGTAAAAGTAAAAGTGTGTGTGTATGTGTGTGTGTGTGTTGAGGTCCCGCCCGACTTGGGCAGGCTCATGTACATGTTATGAACCCCGACAGACTGCTTTAAGGCTTGGACGCGGGGCCTAGCAGCATATGTCAAGCCTGTGCCAAAATGGAGGCCGACGCCAAGAAGATCTGCGAGCGGTCTGTGCTTGTCAAGGATCGCCTGCCAGTTTGAATGTTTCGGTCGTAGAAGCTTTCCGGATTTCTACTCGGGGCCACTATTTGGCTTTGTTTGGGACGGCCACGAAAGAGGATCTAGCTTGGGCAAGCTCGACAGTCGATCGACGAAGAACTGCGCAAGTTTCAGCTCTCCGGCACACATGTAAGACATGAACACTGCCTATTCCTGATTTTTGCCATTGGGATTCAGGGCTGTTTGCCTTGCATCAACCAGTCAAGACGGTCTTGTACAACATCGCAGCATCCTCTCAGCACCGAGCTTTTCAGATTCCTACCAGCCTCTGTCACACACCATCGTTTGACCTGGTCTCTTAGGTTATACAAGTCGTAATCGGGGCTATACGTAACTGTGCGTAGACGTTACCCGACATCTAACCTTCGTAGTAGCCCGTATAACAACCGTTGCGGTAACCCTTGCAAACAGTAACCCAATGTGGGGGCCTAGATAATCACCCATACTATTTTGGGGGTTCCTGAATTCAATTATAGTTGTAGTATAAATATACACCAAAACCCTATTCCAATCATAAAGGCCCCTATATTACCTGCCGCCCGACGTCCGGAGTTGGGTTTTTATGCCAGGCCATCCTCGAGGTTTGGGCCGAGGGCAGCACCTGGGAAGAGGCCCCTTGATTTGGCCCTGGGGTTTTAGGGTTCAGGGTTTGGGGGGTTTAGGGTTTCGAGGTGCGGTTTTGAGGTTCGAGGTTGTTTTATTTAGGGCCCAACACACAAGAAATGGGAGCGAAGCGATGTGGCGACGCAGTTGGGCTGAGTTTGGGGTTTTGTGGCTTTGGGAGGAATTGGCATACATTCCTTGGCGCGCTCCAACATGACTGCGTTTCCGAAAACTGCCAAGGTGGTGGAGGCTTGCCTCGCTCAAGGCCCAGACGTCCGAAGGCAGAGATCTGCTCACTGCTCGAACCGCTTCGGAGAGTTGATAACTGGAATCCTGCGCGGGCAGTTGTTGTAACTGTGTCCGTGAGGAAATATAGGTGCGCAGAAGAGCGCGAGCAATGCAATGTGACAGCAATAAGTGGTGTCCGAGTCGGACGTGCCGCAGTTATCTGAGTATCGAGAACTACTACGAAATTTGGTCTCTTTGACGCTGATTCGGTATGCTCATAAGTTGCGAGGGCGTGTATGTATTCGTAGAGGCAAGGCGAGACCTGCAAGTCTGATGCAAGGCAGCGCCGCCAGTACTTGGCACCGCCCACGACCATTTGCTTACGTGCCCACCCCAGCACTTCTGCAGCCTTACGGCATGCCAGATTTTTCGTGCTGCTCTTCCAAACGTAGGCCTTCAAGCTGGGATTGTTCTTTGATTTTCGGCATTCCGGGCCTCCCACTCTGTGTCCTCACCATGATGTTCAAGCATCCGAACCCAACCGACACTGAAGTTTCGAACGGAATCCACTTCTCTGGGCGCCAGCGCTGTGCGACACTCCTTGAAGCCGCCTGCCGGAGGCGTGGAAGCTTTCGGCAAAACGCTGACCGTGGAGGACGCCCACGCGGTTTGTTCCATGCAGGCCGTCGTATCTTTGAGCGTGTGAGTGGGTGTGGGGATTGGAGGAAGGTGGAACGCAGGACAGCATGAACAGACAGCAGTGAAGGCCCCCATGATTAATAGTAACTATTCTTCATTAAATTAGTGATGGAGTAAAGCATGATTCAACAAGGCCTACTGCAAGCATGACTTGACCAAGTCGCAGATATGGGACGCCCCATGCCGCAGACGGGGCTCAAGCGATGAGCCCCTGCCCATTCGGTACCGTATCGGTGCTGAGCTGAGGGATTTTGGAGTTTTTTTGAGTATGAAAGTCTTCGGAATGGAGGGCTTGATGAAACCAACGGGAGCTTGTGTTCGTATGTAGCAACTGAGTAAGACAGGCTTTCGGGCAGGGACAGCTGCATGTCACACAGAGGAAGTAATGCAAAAGATGTACAAATACCACGACCATTGCCTGCAACAGCACTCGAGCCCAATATGAGACTTGTACCGGAACGCCAAGGAAGCAAAGCGGTCCATGTCCATGTCTTCTCCGCTACAACCCTGAGCCGCCTCAGCCCCTGCACTTTGAGAAGCCTGGGCTGTGCTGTCTCTGCGGATCTGTGCTCAGGTGCTTCTATGGCCGGTCGCATGGAGCCTGCTGCGGTCATTGCGCGCGGGCCTATGGACGTCGAAGTGCGGGGCCCCGGCTTTCGAAGCTCTGGCATAGAGGGCACCAGGCTTGTTCTTGGATTCAGGTCGATCGATATTTTTTTGTGCGGGGGATGCTGTGTCCGTCTTGCAGGAGGACTCTTGCTTGGTACGCGTATGAAGATGTTTTCTGTCAGTCAATGTTAGTTACTGCACCCTTTTGTGTTGAAATTCAATTACATCCTCTCCAGTGCACGCTTGTGTTAGGGTCACAACATGTCCTTCTTTGTCCAGTCCGGAAGACGTGGGTCTTCTGGGTGTTTCTCCAGCAATTCCTCCGTTTCAGTTTCTGCATGAAGCCGGCTGCAACATCACAGGTCTTTGTGAAGGAGCCCCGCTTTGAATGCGACCTGGATGCATCACAACCTAGAGAGTGCTTGTCTCTGCTTCAATGGGTCTTCTGGGTTATGATCTTTCTAGGGTCCCGAGAGCGGAACCTTGTGCAGGTCTGACGCCTCGATCCGATTTTTGAGGTTTAAGGGTTCGGTGTTTGGCGGTTGTCTAAGGGTTTAGGGTCCGGCATGCCCGGCATACCAGGCACGTCACCGGTGGGCTGTCCGCTGCTGCGGCACTCCTGGGGCAAGGCTTCTCGGTTTCAGGACGTGTCTCCGACCGCCGGAGTTTTCAGGAACTGCGCCTGATAGGCATGATTGTCTGATTAAGAGCAAGTTGAAGTTTAAGGGTTACCATAAGCGTACGCGATTCGATTCGTTTAGGATCCAGAAGAATGTTACTCGTAGCGTTTCTGCCACGTATAAGGTTGTGGCGAGCGACCCTGTCACGGGGAAAGAGGACGGCTGCCGCATGCATGGGAGCACAAAATTCAATATGCACTCCTTGTTGCTCTCTTATGCGTTTTGCCTTCCCATGACCATGGAGTAAAACTTTAAACCTGTCAGCTTGGCTTCCTGGCTAGGCGGTATACTTGACCCACAACACTCTCAAAGAACCCAGGGGCGCCCGCATTCGAAAGCCTTGGAAAGTTTCTGAGGATCCTGCAGGCTTTCGCTCCGGATAGTTCCAGTTGCCCGATGAAGGTATCACCTTTGAGAACGAAGCTTCTGAGGACTTGTGGGGCATGGCAATCGCGCTGTTAGGGCTATGCTTGCGATGCTGTTGCTAAAAAAGTCTAATGGTGCAGTTCTCATCAAACGACTCGTTGTAGGAATAGGCTCTAGGAGTCTTATCCGGATCCAAGAATCTAGGCTCAGACGTGCTATGTGTTTCACATTTGACATCCAGGCGGCATTGACGTTGCGAGGGAGAGGTAGTTTGACAGTTTGGTGTGTTTGTGCACATGGTTCGACTTCATTGAGCTTGCTGCCGGCCCGAATCGATTGAATTGTGCATTCGTCGATACAAGCGACCATGCCCCGGTTTAAGTACAGAAGTCTGAAAACACCCACCCTCATCTCCAATCTTGAAGCTTGACTGAACCGAAGCCCTTGTCTTCTGCCTGCTTCCCTGAAGTTCACCTTCCGGGACGTCATGGCCGGGCCTGGCTGGGCCAAGGCGCGCGCGCAGAGACACAGGCATGTAGTCATGCGGAGTCGTGGCAGTGGCTGAGACTTGACACTAGCCGCATCACGCAGGAGTTCGTGGGGATGGACACAGCCGTAGTATGAAACATGATACATGTCAATGTTTGTGTAGCGCTGGCCAGCATATTATCGCGAGTTAACAGCCGAAGTTGTGAAAAGATTCAAGCATTCGCGACAGCAAGATCTCGAGATGAAATGTTGACCGATGTTCGCGAGAATAACGTTGCAACGACTGTCTACCACAGCTGCATTTCGTGCGGGGGCTTGCTAGTATTCAATGCTGTGAGGGACATAGACTAGACATGACTGGACCACGAGTCAAGACGATGCCGCGAGCAGAGACAAGACAACGAGCCATTTGGAAAAGGGTACCTATAGAAGGAACGTGAGCTCATCAACATTGTGTCAGGAGTGGAACTGGGGCCACCATGAGCCTCACATGACCCACGAGACGGGACCCATGAATCCTGAAATCGAAGATGCTTGGCTTTTCTACATGCTGAGGTTTATTTCTGGAGCTGTCCAGTCCAGTCTTCAAGAATCAATGAAGGTGTGTCCTTTTGTTTTTGCTGAGGCTTGCTCGTGCACTGCCGGCTGTCAGCCGGTAGACCGCAGAGCGGGTTCTAATGCTTCCACTCCCTGAAACCAGCACCAGCACCAAACAGCGCCGCTATGCTTGGAAGTTTGCTTGTTTAGTCATGGTGTCGAGTTGTAGGAACTCTGTAGACCCACGCTCACTGTCAGCGGTCTAAGGAGATCATGGAGGACTCTCGGCTTCGATTTCAGAGTTGGTGCCTGGGCGTCTTGTGATCGAGCTCTTGATGGTTAGAGTTCAGGGTTCAAGGCTTTCGACGTCAATCCCAACTTGTGCCCGAAGTTGCTTTGCTTCTTTGTTGATGCAAGTCATCGTGCGGGTGCCAGTTTGCTTTTTCAATAAGCTTGCGCTGTGTAGAGGGCCCCGCCCCTGCCAGCAAAGGAGATGGAACGGTATGATAAGGACGACACCAGCCTCGATGTGCTCCTCAGACTGTGTGGAGTTTGCGCATTGCTATAGGGTGTAAGGGAGCTCCGAAAGTGCAAGGGATGTTCGACACATTGCCGTAGGGAGTGGTGCCAAGCCCACTGTCAGGGCTCGGCTCAGGGTCGCTTTGAAAGCTCCCGACCAGATCAGAAGGAGGTGTTGAGAGGAAAGCAACCTGAGCCTGCCTTTTTGGAACCGGCAGCTTGTCAACGATGACTAGGCAGCCTTCGGATGCTCGAATCCATTCATGCGTGCCCCGAGATTCTACATGTCCATCGGAGTGCTGGGTGCTCTGCAAGACAACGCCACGGCGGATGCGAGAGTCAAGGAGCCACGTGGGGAGGAACTCGAGGGATGAGGCTTCAGGTCCCTCTTTTGTGGCGGCGACGATGTGTTTTTTCTGTCGGTGAAAGGCAGAGCATACCCTCGGTAGCATCAGGCTGCAGTCAGGCAGCCGGAGCTTTTCTGTTCAGGTTTGACGATGCATGGTTCGGAAACGGGAACGGGGGCGATCATCCAATACCTGTTGTGTGCAGGGAGTTGGTTTTTGATGTCTAGCGGAGTGGGTCGTAGTGGCCGACGAGGTTTAATCACATTGAAGACTACATCGCACCATGAAGAGATTTCGCAGGCTTGTCGTTGACGTCTCACATGGCTTCACAAGACGTAGTGGCAGCATGCTGGACGACACCGCCTGCGGGCTGTGTTGTTGAGATGTGATTACTCGTGTACTACTGATTTGTCACGGACAGTGCACGGGTGCTGATACACCTCAATAATTCTAGAGTCTAGAGCTTTCTACAAGGTTCTTCCAGTTCCTTTACGACGCTTCTGGGTTCAGGGCGAGACAAGTCCCTTGGAGTGGTTGCAATTTGCCTCAATGCTCCGCTCACCAGGAGCTTTGGCACGTCTCGCCGGCTTCTTGTCGACATGTTCGGATTGTTTCCGATCCCAGCAGACCCTATCCCAAGTAAGTTCGATCGAAGCCCGCAATCTCCGCTGCAAAGCATACGAGCTGTGCAGGCGGGCTAGGTCTAAAATTCTCTTGACCCTCTGCGTATGAAGCTTCCGACCAACTGTAGACTGCCACACATTGGTGGGGCAAGCCAGTAGTGATCTCCGAGTAAAGCCGGTTGATGTTCAACTTTCATGTTCAGGTCGTTCATAAGTCCGTGGAGCTCGTGGGCGAGTACAACAAGACACTCCAAGAGTCGCTCGGCTGCCTGCCTCTCCAAAGCTCTCAATACATCTCAATACTGCTGTGATTCTACCACATTGAGTTTGTCAGCTGAAGCACAGTCCTTCCCGGGGTCCCGTCGAAAATCCTCTGCAGCTGCCCGCCGTTTGCATGTCTCGCCACATTTGCATGTGTTGAGGAACGCACAATGACAACGCCCCACAATGCTAGAACCGTAGTACTCATCCCTAAATACTCGGCCTTCAACAGCTCGTGCCAAACACCCAGGATGTCATTGATTCAAAGAACAGCTGCCTGCTTGCACCAGTTGTGTCTTCAGGATTCCGAAGCTTTCACGTTTTTTCTTACCTCGAGAGCCGGTCCAAGAACACCTTACTTGAGGCGTCCACACATGACGTTATGACCCCTGCTAGCCATGAAGCGGTCAGAGGCTAGACCCTCGTGGCGAGTTTTGAGCAGTATGCACTCCCACTGCAAGAATGCCTGATGACCCGGCCTCAATGAGATTAAGTGGATGTTCAGGGTCCGCATTCGACAGCTCGGATCCCAAATCGAAAAAACAAGTTTTACACTGTAGAGCCCCAACGTATCACAGTCACTCGATCCTTCTCCTGGCGTGCGACCCTTCTGGTTTTATCGTCTGTGGTGCCTGGATCGCCACCCCAAACCTGCAACGCAGAGCCCTTTCACTCGAGCCCAAAGTCCCCGTCAATCTGCTCGGCTCCGTATGTTCCGTCGCCCACAAGACAAGAACTAAGCGGCTCAATGCATGAGCTTCATTGACGGAGCGCCCCCATGAACGGTGTTTGGAAGTGCACAGCCCCAGGTGGACCGCTACAACAGCGCTGTTCGTAGCGGCCAAAGGGCGGCGATCTTGCTCCACTCCACGTGCTGAGCCATTTCGCTTGCCCCCAAGAAAAAGAGATCTCTGCCCACTTGCAGCGGCCCATCAGAGCTGAAGGGCTGAAGGGTGTGGATCCTTGCTACTATCTTTCTTGCATCATGGGAGAAGCATGTTGAGCCTCGGCTGCTCAGCGGTATCGGTGTGTCCTGCAGTCCTTCAGCAATGACATGTCCCCATCTTGGTTTTACGATGTTATAATACATAAGTTCCAATTCGCAAGTGCATGGCAAACCTGGTTCGTGGAACCAGGAGAAGAGGGCGACAATGGAGACGCTGCGTCCACTCTTCGACGGTGATGAGGCACCTTGCATCTCGCATTTCTCCTGGAGTTCCTGGAATTCAAGGGACGTGTGGCCGAACTCGCTTCGGGTTCCTGGAGAGCGACCCTTGTTAGGCGTGCCAGCCCGCACCATCAGGTCTTGCATCAGCGTCATGTGACAGACTGGAGAAAGCGACTCCCCGAAACCTGAGCAGGTGGTTGACCTCCGGGCCCCAGACACGATGATGTGGGTGTTGGAGGACGGCAGTCGTGCAAACATGCGTGTTTCTTTTGGATTGTGGCTGCGGGAGAGATGCGAGAGCTGTGGTGCTCAACTGGGTTCGGCAACTAAGCATGCCAACGTCAATGACCTGACGGGACTTCATAGTTCAACTCTGCTTTATGCCATGCGTTTTTGGACGACAACGCTTGCTCCTTGGGCCATGCCCTGTGCAAACTCTGCCAATCTCGAGCACCCTTATTGATTTGAGAAGGCTCGGTGCACTTCGTCCACACTTCGGACCACAACATACTACGGTTGATGATATACATCCTGCATTACCCATAGTAAGGAATATACCATAATTGCCATAGTTTAGGGTCCTTAAGGTAATGCAGGATTTATATCATCAACAGTAGGTCCGAAGTTGCAGGGCTGTAGTCCCAGGACTCCTGCAAAGCTGGCCACCACAGGCTGTGTTAGTTACTTGAGCAGCAGCCGCAGGTTGGACCGGCAATACAGCAGGTAGCTCTGAACTTCTGCATGTCACGGCAGTTCGTGCGAAGTATTGAAATGGCCAGCCGGTGCAGACTCAAATAATGGAACATGATGGAACCAAGCACTCTCTCGACTTCGACAGTCACCTCTTTGATGCCGTGAATTGTTTTCCTGCCGCCAGGAGCACTCCCACCGGAGCGACGAGAAGACACACCTGGGAAAGCGAACACGGCCGCCCGAAGACCCAGCAATGCAGACGCGAGTCCTAGCAATCAAGCAAGCCGTGAGGAAATGTTTGTTTGCGTGTGTATATGCATGCAT